TAAAGGGGCAAAACTTCAGAGGCCTCATACCACAAACCAAATACAAGCTTGTCCTGTTAAGAAATGGTGAACTGAGACGCCTGGGTGGCTCAGTCATTAAGTGTCTGCCTAGGGCTCAGGTCCTGATCCCAGGGTCCTGGGATGGTGCTGCGCTGGGCTCCCTGCTCAGCGGGGAGCCTGCCTCGCCCTCTGCCCCTCCCCTCCACGTGCAGGCTCTCAAGTAAATAAATATTTTTTAAAAACAGTGAGTTGAGATTAGCTAAACTGCACTCATAAAAATGTGCAAACTGTCATTTTTAAGAAGTTAGTGAATTTATTTTTGTGACTTGTCAATCTCTGCCCCTTAAATCAGAACTTTCTAAACTCAAAGCCACCTCTTCCTTGAGGTCCATAGCAAGGTTATCAAGGGCTAACTTTACTAAGGACATTAAAAGTGCCTTGGCAGGTTTGGCTGTTTCTGTTTTCAGATACCATCTGATCAGGAAGGCATTCGGAAATTCTTATATGCTAGCAAAGTTAATTCGCCTCCTGTCAAAAGGTCAGATTTGCGTATGCAGTTCGTTGTGTCAGCACAACTTCTCAGAATATTAGTGTTTTGCCATTCTAATGTTCAAATCGGCAGAGTTTTGTTTTTTTTTTTTAAAGATTTTGTTTATTTGAGAGAGAGAAAAGGCACACAAGCAGGGGGAGGGCAGAGGCAGAGGCAGGCTCCCTGCTGAGCAGAAAGCCAGATGTAGGACTCCATCCCAAGACTCTGAGATCATGACCTGAGCTGAAGACATCCCTCCATCAAGTTTTCTTACAAGGGGATGTACTCCGACCCGGAGAGGGCTCGCAGCTTTCTGCTTTTTATGTTCCCGAACCGTTGCCTCTTTCTGTTTTTAAAAGGGCCCTGTCCCCACCCCCACTAGGTTTCATTCAACTAATCAAGTTTCCCCTTTCGTGCCAAGTATCCTGTTACACCGTGTGCTTCCGGGGAAGGGGTGGAAGACAGAGGCTGGGCCACCTTGCAGCCTGAAATCTCATTCAGATGCAAAGATTGGGCTACTCCTTTTTCTGAGTTAAAACAGGTTTGATGCCAAGAGGAAACCATCCAGAGCCTGGTTAAAGCTTCGATCTCAAATAGCCCAACTCCCCGCCATTCAGAGTGAAATCAACATTGTATCGATTACACGTAAAACGATATTACAGTAAGGCAGGACTTGGGTCTAAAAACTTTTCAAATCTAGCCGGCATATTGAGAAACCACATTACATAAAAGGCACCATTTAAGATGGGGGGGGCGTGGTGGTTACAGGCACCCAGCCAGCGGGGGTGGTGGCAGGTGAACCCCACGGGTTTGTTCTCCTACTTCTATCCAGCACCCCCCCCCCCACAGAGGCACTGTGTTCTCTCCATGGTTTGCATACCTCCCAAATCTGGCTGTGCATGCCACATTCACCTTACTACCTCAGAGGGCCAAAGAGGCTAATCCAAGATCTAGAACAAGCATCAGGACAGCCCTTGCTGTTTTGGAGAGCACTCTGCGACCATCCTGCCTTCCCCGCCAACAAGGACCCTTTCAGTTGTAAGGGAACCAGATGGAACTAAGGTACAGCCTTTCTTATAGAACACTAGGAGGCAGCTTGCTGCGCGCGTCACGTCAAAACGCAGTAACTCTGGACTGATCAGGGACCAAGCAGTGAAACCCTTAGCTTCTCTGACTAGAACCCCCGCCCCACCCCACACCTTCGCTGACATCAGGAGACTGTAGAACTCGAACACCTCCACCAGGTGCTACAGGGGTGAAGGGAAAGGCCACTGGGCCCATTTCGCTGCCTTCTAAGATTATTGATGAAACCTTTGCCGAAGGGAGTATAGTCTTCAGTCCAAATACCGTTATTTCAATTTATCCAAAATGAGGATAAAACCGTGATCTCCAGGTGCATGAGCTCTGACATAGTCCGTTCCCAGACCTCGGCATCGTGGAGGGAAAAGTCATGTAGAGGCCATATCAAAACCGGATGTGTGTGTCTATTTTCATGGAAAATGCTGGAGATGTGGGACATCCTAGCCAGCGTGCGTGGCAAATGAACAGGCTCTAGTCACCTTGACCATTTTATTTTTAATATATCTGAAAATTAAATATGTACTATTTCTCTAACAATGCAAATGAGACAAAGGGTTGGCATCAGGAATGCAAAGCAGCTTACTACAAGTAGAAACTCACCCCCCACCCCGTGGAATTATTAGCATTTATTTAAAACGTTTTAGACAGTCTCGCAACAAATAAAAATACATTTATTTGGTTCTTACTTTCAAAATTACCAGGTTATGTGGCTTTCTACCTGAGAAATTCAAACAAATTGAACAAAAAGACATCAACAGGTTTTTAGTTTTCTTGAAGCACTATTAGCAGCACATACAAGGGAAACACAAGAAAACACCTATTTAAAAAGACAGAGTTTAAAGTTCAGGCCCTTACTTACTTAATAGGTCATAGAAAAAAGATGAGAAAATACTCTTGCACCACTTAAAGAACAGCACAATGAAGAAGAACAATGTTAATTAATAGAAAGGGATCACAATATTTTCGGTTCTATTTCATTTCTTACTAAGCCACTCATTCCACTGAAAAGTACAGGATAAATTGTTCTCTTCCTCATTTAAGGCCTACACACACACACACACACACACAAAAGGTTTATTCAAATCTAAAACGCATTACCACAACACATATAAAAATCCAAAGTTGTACAGAACGTAAACATGAAACCAGTATTTTTACTTACTTCTAGCCCCATGATGGTATTTAGCAAACAAACAAAACCAGACAAAATATTAGATAGAAGTGACTTAGCACCGGTTCTATTATCCACCCCACCCCCCCCAAAAAATTGCACATGCTGTATTCCGTAATTTATTTTTTTTATGTCTGGTTACTGGGAAGCAAATTGTTTTCATGCCCAAAAATCTCTGTAAAGAAAAATTATCGAATGGCAGAAGAAATGAAGATTTGTTTTCAAAACAAGCACAACTGCTTTCCATTACAAACTCATAATGTTCTTTGTTTCAGTGGCATGAAACATGAAAAAAAATAAGGAACAAGGGTCTCACCAGAGGAGAAAAAAATACCTAGTTACGAAAAGTTGTCTGACAAAACACAAGCTCTTAGCACTTTAAAAGGCTACTCTGGGCAACAGTACTTTGAACATTAACAGTCCTTGCTAGTCCTCAGAGGAGAAAAGGCACTCACCCCACGAGCCATTTTTCAGATGTGACAAGCCAAGCCTAGTGGTGATGGTAGAGTCACTAGCTTGAAGTGGAACTGAACACGAGGAAGCCCACAAATCATTCGTTGGTTACTGTCTCGTTAATAATAAGCATGACCTGCTACGTTACATTCATTTTTTCGAACTTCTGCATGAACTAGCGTATCTCTATTAAATGCGATTAGAAGAGATCAATGAAACAACGTGCGGTTCTTACTTTCAGTGAATTAGAAGATTGCGTGGCCCCTTCAGCTATCAGGCTGCTCAAGGGGCTGGTTCTGAGCACAGGACGTGCCTCGTCATTCAGGGCAACCCCACTGACCGGCATCCCACCCTTGGCCCTAAAGGCTGGTACTTTTCTACAGAACGTCAAGTTAAGACTGAAACGAACCACGCCCTATGAAAACGTGGCCCTCCACTACTTCTGTGAATGGAAATCTCCTCCTGCCGCAGCGAGTCTAACCTCATTGATTCTTCCACTGCCGAGTCAGGTATAAGCTTTGTTGGGAAAAAAAAAAAAAAGAAGGTCATCTACTGCCTCTGGGGTCCTAAATCCTATATAAGGCAGAAGGAATCAGCCGAGCTTTCAAGAGAACATGCGCTGCATTGAGATGTAAGTCTTTACGAATCTATAAAATATCTCCATTTAAAAACATATTCAAGAAGTCCAAAACCAGTAGGTAAAAAGATAAATTGCTTCTGTTAAGAGATTACAAATCCTACACACATACCCATTTTTTCCCCAGCTAGAAAACTAGGGCTTTGCCCTTGACTCCTCCTAACTCCATGGCATTACAGAGGATCGAGGAGGCACTTGTTCGTGTTTGATAAGAGTCAGTTTGGGGATAGTCAGTGGCTTTTTACAAACTGATGTCACCCAACCCTGAGTGAAAGGATTACAGAACCTGAAATGGATTACTGCCATGTCCCAGCTTCCGAAGAGACATTCATGGCACCCCGGGATCTTTCCATCTTGCCTTTTGCGAATCCCACTGGTTATTTTGCTTCAATGCTCTTGCTTTTCTAGGATGGAATGACATGGGATGCTTCTAAAAACAGCTCTGTGAATGGTCCGCTATCTGTTTAAGCCTCAAGAGACAATCCGAGGCCCTTTCCGTGGATTGTTCCGAGTTTTGTTTCACAAAGGACAATTCTTTAGAGTACTGTGAACACACTGATGAAATTAATTCCTCCTGGTGGACGGTCATGAAACCATCAGTGTCACAAACGAGTCTGTGATGTGTCCTAGCTGTCATGTCTTCTGCTACCTGCCGTTATGTCTGGATAAAAGGCAAGTTTTGTGGCCGCACCTAGCTTTTCTGGCCAAATCCAAGCATGTGTGAAAAGATCCTAGTTCAGCTGCCGTTGGCCCCTTTGAAGGTAACTGACACTAAATGATGGTGTTCTAACAGCTAGAGAGCCGCAAGGGGACTACTGACTCCACGCCATGTTCATTTGCTTTCTGGCTGGCACCGGTCTCAGGTTGCAGCCGAACTGGAGGAAAGTCTGTCCTTGGATCAAGCTGTACAGGCATGTGGTTTTACCAACCCTTGGTATCTGGAGGTTTCTTATTTCCAAAGTTTGCCAACACACCTGCAGTCATTTATGCTTTATATTTTGGCGAGGGAAACAAGGTTTTGCCTTTGACCTTGCCCAAACTTTTAAGTGCTGCTCTCTTGCTCTGTAGTTCCTAACTACATTAGCTGTATTTGGTTTTAAGTGTTCTATCCTGCACATTGTTTGCTAAGAATGAGGGTGTTTCTGATCTATGAGGCCTTTAAAACATCTGAAAATACAAAGAACTAGTGTAGCCATTTCCAAAATAGCTTCCATAGTTGAGGTGCTCCTGACTGTCATGTCTAATATAATAATTACCAGAATTCAGCGTGGGATCTCTAGAACGCTCATGTCTTTTAAACCTTCTGACCTCCTGGTTATATTCTGACTTCCACGGGGTCTCTCTTCTTTGGGGCAAATTCCCCATGTAGAAAACGTGACCACTTTTTGCTGATGCTACGGGCACACGAGCGGACCCGTAGTTTGCCTGCCAGCCAGATGTGCTGTCGCCGAGCCTCCTCCTCTTCCTTGTGATGTAGTCTAACAGACCTCCAGGACCCGATCCGCCGAGCAAGTATTTGGGGACTGCTGTTGCCCTCCTTTTGGCGGTGCTCTTCTCATCCCTAATGGAATGGTTTTTGCCCTCAAGCCACGAACATCTCCGTTCATACTTGGACCTCTCGCCTGGTTTCCCCAGCTTGGGTTTGGAGGAGCTGTGCTCCCCATGGCGGCTCCACTTTGAATACAAGGCCTGCGGACTTGCCCTAATTTCTCGATCACTAGTGGTGAGGTCGTCATCATCAAGAGATCTTTTTTCTGGGGAGCTATCATATGTGGCCACAGACCTCTCTTCCTCCTCTTTGTTTACACTAAGGGTTTCACTGAAGCATTCGGAATCACTACTGATTTCCTCTAAGAAATCTGTCAACTCCAGATCTAAGTCGGCTGACCTCCTAGGTGAGGAAACTTGGCTGTGACTTGGGTAGTTAGAATCTCTGAGCTGGTGAGCTTGCATCTTTTCTAACAGATGGCTCTTTCCATCAGCTGGGGACTGGTGATCACCAGCACCACCGGCTGTGTCCTTATAATGATTTTTCAACTCCTCGGTACATTCTTTGGCATAATCCACTTTTCCTCTCTTTTGTGGTTTAAGCTCAGGATCCTGAGTACAAACCTCTTCTTGAACCCGTTCTCTTGCTGCCAGGTTTTGCATTTGGCTCGGACTGGTGGAGTGATACTTCCGTTTTCTCAGATTGATCTGAAACCCATCTCCCTTAGCACGGACAGCCCTCTGCCACTGACATGGGCTTGCTAGATGACTTGGTTCTAGGCAGATGCGAGCATACTCTGGAGTTTGATAATAGTTTAATAGGTAATCAATAAATTCATCTGTTTCATAGATCTTCTGTTTCTTGCCATGGCCTGGCTCAGATAATCTAGAAGCATTGGATTTGTTAGAACTGCACTGGTCTTCCCCCTCAAGAGACTGATCTTGAATCATCACATTCTGCAAAGAATTCTGGTCAGAGACCAAACTGTGACCGTAGCCCTCAGTTAATAATTTTCCAGTTCTCTCTTTTCTAGCTGAGTATCTTATTTTTTTTCTCCCAAGGTGGTGGGAAGATTTACGTAAGTGAGCCCTAGTTCTTTTCTTCATTTTTTGTTTTCCTTTATTGTCTGACTTGGCAACCTGATATTTTGGCATTTCCTCCTGATTTTGAAGATACTGGGTATTTAACTCTTCTTGCTTCAGCATTTCCAGCGTGTTCCCTGGAGCCTGGTTCACTTTGGGGCTTGCATCATCTACCCACTGTGGGTTAAACTGTGTGGATCCCTTTAAAGAGAAAGGTCAAAAATCTCAACATGAAAAACCTCACAGTGCAACAATCTCAAAGAAGACGGGGCTTTCTGGCATGGTTCCGAAGAGGTTTCTAACATGTAAGGTAGATCCAAATTAGGAACGATATTGCCCAGAGGAAAGAGGAGGTACGGGATTCGATCTCTCAGACGAACGTGAGCGGTGTTTCTGAGGTCTGTGTGCATGATTTACGTACCTTCAAAGCACATGACCACTTTTTTTTTAATCTGTTCACAAACTGGTGAGGACTTCTGGTTCCAGGTCTTAGGCTAGGGGCTGGGGATAGTGAGAGGAATAAGAAATGCTCTACAGCCTTCCCAGAAAATCCTAGAACAGGAAATGTGTGTCTCAAAGGGAATCAGCTGGCTTACAAGAGAGCCTGCCTGTTTGTCAGCCCAGTCTCTTCCCATGGGTTAGCTGGAAAGGATGTCCCTGAGCTGGCCCCTCTTCTTCTGCTTCAGTTGGAAGAGAGGCTGCAGGTAGAAAGTGTGGCCATGGCAATGGGTCTGCCTATGCTGTCTGCTCTGCAGAACCGCAGGCAGGTAAAAGGTGGCCCACGGGCCCCACCCCACTGGGAGCAATCACACCGTGCTCTCGCTGACACAGGGGCGCACCTTGGGACAGTGCCTACCCGTGACCCGGGATTTGAACCTGGGGGCTGTGTCATCAATGTTAGTCCCCATCAATGGGAGGCAAGAGTTAGTTAGGCACCACATACATTTAAGGAGACAAATTCATAGAAAGGAGTCACCCTGGGTGCCTGGATGGCTCAGTTGGTTAAGCATCTGCCTTTAGCTGAGGTCATGATCCCCAGGGTCCTGGGATCTAGTCCCACATTGGGCTCCCTGCTCAGCGGGGAGTCTGCTTCTCCCTCTGACCTCTCCCCTCTCATGCCCTCTCTCTCTCTCTCTCAAATAAATAAATAAAATCTTTTAAAAAATGGTTTAAGTGGCCAATTTAAAGAAAGAAAGATAGAAAGAAAGAAGTCACCCCCAGAGGCCATTACAGTAAATTAAAAGATCCAGTGAGACTTATTGTGAGTGTAAATGTGAAATTCTTCTGACCCTGACTTCACTAAGTCTGGCTGTCCACACTCATGAGAGAAAGGCCGGAAATGCTGATAGCCACTAAGTCCCTCTATCTGATCCTGATGTCACTTACTCTGCATATTTGAAAACCCTGAAGATGCATTTTTAAATGAACCGCCTGGGAACCTTTCTGGCCTTTCCTCCAGGCCATCTGCGGAGTCTGATTATCTTTAGGAGGTCAGTAAAGTGGGGCAAAAAAACCAAACAAACAACAATAAAAAAAAAAAAACAACCCTGAAACTCCAAAAATGGAAACTCTCCAAACCAAACAAATTGCTCTGTGATGTCAGAAATTCCTTAGCAAATAGTTGAAGACCAGACTAACGGGAGCTCGCTACACAAAGGTCTCTGTCCAAGGCTCTTCCTTCCCATCCAGACCCGTTGCAGATGAATGGACAAGTCGAGTTAATGGAAGACTCCTACCAACCCCACACCCATGCCATCCGTCCCCCGCCCCTCCCCGGGGCATGAGGGGCCTAGAAGGATAGATTCACTAGCTATCCTGCTCTGGGATGCACTGTCCCAAGACCACAGGGCTGAGACAGCCTGTTGAAGACAAACCCCAAAGAAGGCAAACGATCTTACACGGAGTCAATTTCAAATGGGCCGCAGCGTCAGCATCAAAGTGTGTCTCTAAGCGATCCGGTACCTACCAACAGTGAAGATGGACGGAGCAAGAGCCTTACAGCAATTTTCCTCAAGAGTACCCGCAGCAGCCGGAGGGCCTCCACCCGCCTCTGGGCCAGCAGGTACTTCCTCTCCTCCCACTCCTCTGAAGAGTCGGGCTCCCGGGCGCTGTCCGCGGGGGCTCGGGCCTTTGGTTTCCTGTGCCGGCGTCTGTCTCTCTCTTTCGGGCCTCGTCTCCTCACCCTGGCCTTCTTCCTCTTTTCCTGGGCTCTCCTCTCCTCCTCTTTTCTTTTTCTGGACAACAATTAAAAGTCAGTCATTCAGAAGGCATGGATTAGGCACCAGCTCTCCTTCCAGCTCCTTCCCCACTGCTGCAGGGAGGGTGGATGGGTTAGGTTTCCCGGAATCACACAGTGCTAACCCCGGGGTCTGACATGGACAACTTAGGGACTAAGACACCATGGGCGCATCAGTCAAAGGGGAAGGACCCAAAACTGAGCTGGTCAGTTAGAAGCACGTACAGGAGAGAGTATATGAAAAGAAGGCTACAGAATTCAAAGAAGGGGTTTCTCGAAGTCCCCACTTTGTCAGACCACCAGCAGTCCAGCTTGTGGATTTAGCCATCACAGCCGTCATTTCATTTCTCTCGAGATCAAAAAGCTTCCATGGAGTTGACTTTCTATAGACTTAATAAAGGAATAATAAAGGGAAGTCAAGGTACTCAGAAACTCTCACGGCTGAGTACTGGTCCTTGGTACCTATGACCTAACACAGGACCTAGCATGGAAGAATATGGGCTGTTGTCCCAAAAATTCAACTGTTTTGCTTGGGCCCTTATGAACCATGGCGAAGGGGAAGGAAGGGACAATTACCTGAGTGAGGACTTCGCCAGAAGCTGGAAGATTATCTCAACTACATGTTTAGTCTGGAAATTTGGGAGAAGAGTTGCCTTGACCGGGCTCAAACTCTGGCCGAGTTTCACAGACATGATCTCAAGCAACTCCTATTCACCCCACCAGCCAAAAAAAATGAAAGGCACACGGTAGGGGACTCTTTATCTCCTTTTTTGAATAACTATAATTTACACGAAAGACTGAAAGAATAAACACGTGAGGGGAAGGGCCAAGAGGCCAAACTGGTTTTGAGAGCCCATTTGTACTTCTTGGCAAACCTTTGGCAATCCAATTGCCCTTTCTAGGCTCAAGACCCTAAATTAGAAAACAAGGATAAGCTCAAAGAAGTCAACATGGAGGCTCCTCAAATTCTCCAAAAGAACTTAAGCCAATAAGAAACAGAAGGCCAAGAAATCCATGCCTTCCCGCTGAGGCGCTGGTTTGACTGTCGACCATTTTGTGGAAGAAAATCTCTCCCCAACCTAAAAAGTATTTTTTTTTCCACTTTAAATTAATAGGCAAGGTAAACTTGGGCAAATTGGGGGTGAACAGGTCAACTTTTTAATTGGGTGGGCTAGGATTTTCACTGTAAAAGCCGGGATCCCTTTATTTATTTATTTTTTAAAATCATTTCTTCCCAGGTATCTTGATCTAGCTCGTTACTTATTGTCCCTGAGAAGTTGTTTTTTAAGTTTCTCGTCTTTCAACCACATTTTGGTCTTGTAACAGCACAGCCGGAAGACTGTACCAATTCTGGCCACTCCCACCTCAATGTCACCCATCTGAGGCAGCCATTCACCCAAAGGGATAAGCCCACACGTCAGAAGTGAAAACCCGCCTTGGTCAACGTCAGTTGCCTCACCTTGCAGCCTCTTCCTCATCTCGCTTTACTTTTTTCCTTTCTTCCTCCAGCTCTTGTAACTTCAGCCTTTCTTGATTTCTCCTCCTGATAGCCCCTTCGCTGAAATGTTTGGTTGTGTCAAACATAACCTGTGCACAAAACAATTCAGACTCTCATTAGGAAAGTCTGCCCGGGGCCTGGGTGTTGTCCCAGGCCAGCAAAATAAAACCAGTGTGTACTAAACAATTCAAAACTCCATGAATTCAAAATGTCCTCTTCCCATTACTGTTCTGCTGTTTCCTAGGGACCTGCCCAACAGCCCTGTGGGTTCTAGAACCGTCTTTGGCAGAACCTTTCAGGAGCTCTCACGTGGCCCCATCACCGAGTCATTATGGGCACAGGCTGTGAGGGATGTGAATTAATTACCTCGGGCTTGTTATAAAAATCAACTGAGTTCAGGTATTTTAGTCACCAGAGACAAAAACAAAAGGCAATAAATAAATAAATAAATAAATAAATAATTTTAAATGTCGGGGGTGGGGGTAGAGGAAGGATTGGGAAAGCAAAGATTCAAGAGAACTGACCTACTGGGATCTGAGATTGGACTGTAGTGATTACTGAGCTACTTTGCAAATCCCCAAAATAAAGTAAAAGTCCTCTCAAGGCACTCCAAGAGAATTTGCTTGAAAAATAAAAGGAGGAAAAATAGCCCTTTAAATGTGCACAAGAAGGCTAAACACCAAATTCACAATCATAGCCACCTCTGTGGGGAGGGAGGGAGATGGTATCTAATGTAACAGGGGATGTTTTCCAGCCAGTGGGTACCTGGGTGGTCACCAGAGCATGTGTTTTATCTTTTGTCTGGCTGAATAGCTCATAATTTAAAAAAAGATATATTTTAACATAAGTAGTTTCACACATCTCACACACAAACAGACACACACGCACACATAGGAAGCTATTGAAGGCGAAAGTCCAAATTCATGCTCAAGGCTAAGTGAGAGAATAAGGAATGTTTAGCCACATCTTTTCCTCTGCTGGAGTAAGAGGTCACAAAGGAGATGGGGTGGCCTGACTGGAGAGACAGGACAATCTCAAAAGGAAAGGATCCCAGTTTCCTGAGCTTATGTTCCAGCAATTCACCTGACAGACATTCCTAAAAATGCAACCTGTTGCCCCCAAGAGTAAAGGGGGTAAACTGCTCTCCTGTGGGGTCAAACTGCATGGATCCTCCCTCTCTCAGCAACTCAGGTGGAACAATCCTAGGAGATAGCTCCATAAGGGTCAGAAGAATTCCTCAGCGCCCCAAGAAGTTGGCACAGAGCCCCACAGAACCAACCCTTCCAAACCACAGTCGGCAGAAGAATGTCCACATCAGGATTAGTTTTCTTCTTAAACATCCGTTTCTGAATGACAACACAAATCTCTACATCAGCCATCACTCAGAGCCTAATGCGGGGGGGAGTCCTAAGGAAATTTGTTCTAGAGGCTTCCTTCCAGCTTTTGCTCAGGACCACCTGAACAGTAGGAAATGAAAGAAATCCTGGCTCCTTCTTACCTTGATGTTACAGGCCAGAGCTTTCCCATCATCTCCTTTCAGCATCAGCTTCATCCCTCGAAGGGACTCCATGGCTTTCGCGAAGTCCGTTGACTCCTGGTACTGTACGAAGGCCTCAAATGTCTGCAAGCCGAAGCTGAAACCCCCGAAGTTTCCACCGGTCATCACTTCCCTGTAGGGGTCCAGCATAGGGATGTCCACATTCTTGATCTTTCCAAAGCTCTCAAAAACCACCCTAAGGATCTCTTCACAGGGCTTCTCCCCACTGGAACCTTTGGGCGCAAACCATTTGCAGGGCAAGCCAGCAAAATAGATAGAATCCGGGCTCTTATCCTGGTCCTGCTCTTCGGCCCCATCGCTCACCGAGGCCTCCTTTTCCCTGGGGAAGCGTTCCCACTCTCCCTGGGCATCTGTAGCCACGACTTTTAAGTCTGTTTTCAAGCCATTCAACTTGATGATCTTCCCGTGTAACTTGGCCTTCAAGATCTGAACCAGACTGCGCGTCTCGGCCTCGCCCTCGAATCGGATGAAGTCCTTTGTGCTCTTGGAGAGCCGAACGGTGGTGAACTGGTCAGGGCAAATCAGGCTCTTCAGCTGGTCCAGAACTTCCCAGTTGGAGAAGGGCCTCGTCGGCTCTGAGCTTTCTGGGAGCAAGACACTGATCATCAGTTTTGCGATGGGCTTGAGGTAGAGGTGCTGAGCGGCACACAGCTCCGTGGCCTCGGAGTTATCGTACACCACAGTGACCGTCATGGTAGCCCCCGGAAACCTGAGAGGGCCAAAGAGAACATTTTCATACAGATGGTGCAAAACACGGACTTGGATCTTGAATGGTACTAGCACTCCCGGACTTCCGCTCACTCAGTAAGGGAAAGAGTACTCTGGGGAGAACTGAGACAATAGCATCCGTTTGCTTACTGGGTTTCAGAACTTTCCAAGAGTTTCCATATAAAGTGGACTCTTGAACAGTACGGGGGCAAGGGGCATCCACCCCCCACCCCTGTGCATTCCAAAATCCATGTATAACTTGTGACTCCCCCCAAAATTTAACTCCTAATAGCCTGCTATGGACCAGAAGCCTTACCAGCCACTGGGTATGTTACACGCATGCTATTCGGTATTCTTACAATGAAGTAAGCGAGAGAAAAGAACATGTTTTTTTTGGGGGGGGGTTCCTAAAGATTTTATTTATTTATTTGAGAGAGAGAGTGTGAGAGAGAATGAACATGAGAAGTGGGAGGGTCAGGGATGCCTGGGTGGCTCAGTTGGTTAAGCAGCTGCCTTCGGCTCAGGTCATGATCCCAGTGTCCTGGGATCGAGTCCCACATCAGGCTCCTTGCTCAGCAGGGAGCCTGCTTCTCCCTCTGCCTCTGCCTGCCATTCTGTCTGCCTGTGCTTGCTCTCTCTCCCCCTCTCTCTCTCTGACAAATAAATAAATAAAATCTTTAAAAAAAAAAAAAAAAGAAGTGGGAGGGTCAGCAAGGAAAAGCAGACTCCCTGCCGAGCAGGGAGCCCGATATGGGACTCGATCCCGGGACTCCAGGATCATGACCCAAGCCGAAGGCAGTCGCTTAACCAACTAAGCCACCCAGGCATCCCAGAAAAGAACATGTTATTAAGAAAACCATAAGGAAACGCAAGAAAAATGGGGGTGCCTGGCTGGCTTTGTCGGTGGAGTGTGTCACTCTTGACCTCAGCGTCGTGAGTTTGAACCCCACGTTGGGGGTAGAGATCACTTTTTTAAAAAAATCATAAGGAAAAATACATTTACACCATTGTATTTATCGAAAAAAAAAACCCACATATAAATGGACCCATGCAGTTCAAACTCATGCTGTTTCCAAGGATCAACTGTACTGAGGTTCAGCTTCCTTCACTGAAAAATAGAGATTCTAGGATTTCCAAGAGGATTTGTTGAGCAAGTATATGTGAAATCCTTAGAATAGCGCCTGGCACACAGGAATTTCTCAATAAACACAAGCTATGTTGGTTATTTATTCGTGGCAATAGTCTCACTTTATCTCATCTGGTTCGTGAAGCAACCTGTGAGTGGGCACTGTCATGCCTGTTTTTACAGATGGGGAAATTCACACAGATTCCGGAAAATGAAATGACTTGCCCACACATTGAGACCGCAGGATGCCAAGCCTGTTGAGTGACTGCTCTCAAAGGCAGAATCCCATAAGAACTGGCTGGGGGTGCTACAGAAACAGGGCATTCACGAACACACACCTGACTTTGCATTCTAGGTCGTACGTGGACACATCGGCTCGGATGCCTCCAGTCTATTGACATGAACTAAACTGAACTCTAAGTTCAAGTACAGGAGAGACAACCTCCTCTAATGAGTGACCAAATGAATTTGCCCTCTATTCTGGGACTGGAAAACCTTCCAAACATGAGTGCTACCTGGCATTTCCTATTAACAAACTTTCTCAAGCTGCCCCGAGGTGAGTAAGATCCCTAATACTGGGAATTGAGGATTTCTGCTCCTATTTGCTGACTTCAAAGAGCACTTCCCAATAAAGGAGTTCTTCCTAAAGTGTATACATTCAGAGTCCATATAACCCGACCTTCTCACTAATGTCAACTTCAGAGAGGTTTAGACTCAAACATATGCTGGTAGCTGATGGAAATTCTAACACAAAATTTACTAATAAATCTTAGTTAACTTTATAGGTGCATAATTTTTAAAAATTTTTTTATTTAAATTCAATTTAGTTCATATATAGTGTATTATTAGTTTCAGGGGTAGAATTTAGTGATTCATCAGTTGCATATAATAATCCATTTACAAAATAACTGTCCATAAAGGACAAGCCATATCAATTTCCTTGAGTTTGTATAAGCTGGTTTTTTTTAAAGGCCTCCAAAGGCTGTATCTAAGATACTAAGGTACTAAGAATTCTTATGATAGCAACACTGAACTGGGATGTTATGAAAACAAGCATGTTTTCTTTCTCCAAAAACATTATCGAAATAGCAAACCGAAGAAGAAAATTCAGTTAGTTTGCTGCAATTTGCAACCTAAATAAGAGTTAACACTAAGCTCCTTTAGGAGAAAAATTAATTTGATATCCAACTACGGTATACTGAACTCCAAAATTTATCTATAGTCAATAGGTATTTGCTTATACAACCTAATTTAAAGCAACGGCTTTTTTTTAAAAAAAGATTTTATTTATTTATTTGAGAGAGGGAAAGTGAGAGAGCCAAGAGATAGGGGAGGGCCAGAGGGAGAAGCAGAGTCCCCTGCTGAAAGACTAGACCCTGGGACCCCAGGATCATGACCCGAAGCCGAAGGCAGACGCTTAACCGACTGAGCCACCCAGGCGCCCTTAAAGCAACAGCTTTTAAAAAAACATTCCAGAAAAAAATAAACACAAAGTAGTTGACCACTTCAAAGTAATCAGGTTTGTCATGCTCTTCCCACTTATTCCAGCGCTATTGCCTCTGTGTTAAACATCTCAAAATGTTTCCTTTCGGATGGATTTCAAAGTCTGGGTTACGTCTTTTAAATAGTCTTGATGGATGTCAATTTGGAAATTCTTTTTTTCATGGCTTTGATATTTAGAAATTGTCAACAATTACCTAGAATCAAGAATGTTGCATAAAATGGGTAACTATAAAAAGCAAACGGATTTTCTGGGCACCTGGGTGGCTCAGTCAGTCAAGCATCTGCCTTTGGCTCAGGTCATGAACCCGGAGTCTCCGGATCAAGTCCCACGTCCGGCTCCCCACTCAGCAGGGAGTCTGCTTCTCCCTCTGATCTTCCCCTCCTCCTGATTTCTCTCTCTCTCTCTCTCAAATAAATAAATAAAATCTTAAAAAAAAACTGATTTTCTTAATTGCCTTATAACCACCCCCCCCAAAAGGAGATTCTAATAAAGGCTCTAATTCTTTCTTTTTTAATTTGTTCATACATCGTTGAATGAGTTTAGAGCTTTGAAAGATGACACCTCTGAAGGACAACATTCATTTGGATGTCACGGTAGAACAGTTACAAAAATAATCCCAGGTTACCACCCAGCCCTATAGCCACACTCTGCAATGTGACTTCAAGCCATCGCTGCTGAGAGATAGAATCTATTTCCCCCCAGGTTTTGAATGTAAGTTGGCTTTCCCCACACACACACCACTAGAATGTGGCAAAAGTGACAGAACGCCAGTTCTAGGCCTAGGTCTCAAGCGGCCCTTAATCTCCTGGAACCCTGCCATGCCAGGAGCACATGCCTGAGCTGGCCTGCTGGAGGATTCTGGACCAAATGGAAAAGAGCCCCCTGGTGGCTGATGAGACATCCTCATCAAGCCAGACCCTGGCCAACCCACCACCTGACCATGAACCCCTGAGCGAGCCCAACAGTCCAGCCAACCTATAGACCTGGGAGAAATAATAAATCACTACTATTTAAGCCACTAAGTTTGGGGCTGGTTTATTACACAATAGCTAACTGATACAAACATCTAGCTCTTAATTAATTAATTTCAAGATACACAATTCCACTTAATAGTTTTTACACAAATGAATACAAATAATAAAAACCAATTTCTGGGAGAGTTTTGGGGAGAAAAACACAGGCACTTTCATGTCTTGCTTGAGATAATGTACATCATTCTTTCCTAGAATAATTTAGCAAAACAAACCAAGACTCATAAAAAGGCTCATCTCCTCGGATCAAGAAACCTGCTCTAGAAACTCATCCTAGAGAAATAATCAAAAATAAGAAAAAAACATGGGGCACCTGGCTGGCTTAGTAGGTAAAGCGTGTGACTCTAGATCTCAGGGGTGTGATTTCAAGCCCCATGTTGGGCGTGGAGCCTACTTTAAAAAACAAAATGCTCAAAGCTAAAAAAAAAAAAAAATGCTGGGACGCCTGGGTGGCTCAGTGGGTTAAAGCCTCTGCCTTTGGCTCAGGTCATGATCCCAGGGTTCTGGGATTGAGCCCCGCATCGGGCTCCTTGCTCGGCAGGGAGCCTGCTTCTCTCGCTGGCTCTGCCTGCCTCTCTGCCTGCTTGTGTGTACTCTCTCTCTCTCTCTCTCTCTGGCAAATAAATAAAATCTTTAAAAAAATGCTCAAAGCTGCTTATTACAGTGTCATTTGGATATAATTTTGTCCAAACCATGTATATATGGGAATAAAGTCCAGAAATTGTTATGACTTTTTGTATAGTAGTTTTAATAAAACGTTCTGCTAATGTAATCCAACTTTCAACTGATGCGTTTTTAGTCACTCATTTCAAAGTATAAATGGATCTTATTTAAAAAGTTCTTCTGCTTCAGGGGCGCCTGGGTAGCTCAGTCGTTGAGCGGCTGCCTTCAGCTCAGGTCATGATCCCAGGGTCCTGGGATCGAGCCCCACATCGGGCTCCCTGCTCTTCGGGGATTCTGCTTCTCCCTCTCCCACTCCCCACTTGTATTCCCTCTCTCACTGTCTCTTTCTGTCAAATAAATAAATAAAATCTTTAAAAAAATAAAAATAAAAAGTTCTTCTGCTTAAAATTAAATTCACAAAGACTACTAAAAATCATCACTTTTGAGATTTACTGTATGCCTCATGTCCCTCACAAGGGTGATTTCTACAGACTAAAGCAAGTGTCTATATTTTAGCCAGATGTCTCCATTTTCCTGCAATGTCAAAAAGGCTCTTATCAAATTTGGAGAGAAATGAGTCAAATTCTATGGCAGGTGTAGATGAGCTCTCCTTGGGATGAGAAAACAAAGAACCAATCACCATGGAAAGTCAACATTTGGC